TCACCTTACTCTCATTCTCATGCACCCCCTCGCTACCCTCCCCGTCCCCCCATCCCACAACCCTCCTCTCCCCAACCTCCCCTTCCTCTCCCCCAACCCTCCCCCCCATCCTTCCTCTCCCATCCCAACCCTCCCCCATCCCCCCAACCCTCCCCTTCCCCCTCCCCATCCCCACCCCCCAACCCCACCCCAACCCCTAACATCGAATATAATTTTTTTCTCCCTTTCATTATATTTTTTCCCCCCCCCTGTCCTTCTTTCCTTCCCATCTGTTTTTTTTTTATACATTTTTATTGCCTCTTCTCGGCGTCACCCAAATCCCGGAGGCGGCTGATGCAACTCGGCGAATCGCGGCTGTGGTTTCGCGGTGTCTTCCTCCTTCTGCTACTTTCCTTCTATATGTAATATATGTATATATATATATATATATATAATATATATATATATATATATATATATATATATATATATATATATATATATTATATATATATATATATATATACAATATATATATATATATATATATATATATATATATATATATATATATACTATATATATGTACATATATATATATATATATATATATATATATATATATGTATATATATATATATATATATATATATTATATATATATATATATATATATATATTATATATATTATATACTTGTATATATATGTATATATATATATATATATATATATATATATATATAAATATATATATACATATATACTATATATATATATATATATTGTATATAGTATATATATATATGTATATATTATAGCATAATATATATATATAATATTTATTTATATAGTATAATACATAAATACATATATATATATATTAAATATATATATTATATATATAATATATATATATATATATTATATATTAATATATATGTATATATATATATATATATATATATATATAATATATATATATATTATATATATATATATATATAATATATATATATGAAATATATATATATATTATATTATATATATAATATATATATATATATATATATATATTATATATATATATATATTATATTATATATAATATATATACATACACACACACACACACACACACACACACACAACACAACACAGCACACACACATAACACACACACATACCATACACCATACACACACACGAACACACCAACACACATCGCACATGAGTACACACACACACACAACACAACCACCACACAACACACACACCACACACACATAATATATAATTGTGGTTTCCTTTTTTAAGATTTTTTTTTTCGACAACTTTTTTTCTTTGGCTGTGTATCGAATTCCTGCTCGGGCTTTTTGACATCTGGCTTTGACTTCGACGACTACTACTCTCTTTCTCTCTCTCTCTGCTCTCTTTCCTCCAACCTTCTCCTCCTCCTCATCCTCTGCCTCCCTCCTCACCTCTCCCCCCACCCCCACCCCACACCACTCACCCACCCCCTCCTCCTTCCTGCCTCCCTCCACCTCCTCCCACCACCAACCACCTCCTCCCTCCTAAGCCACCTCAACCCCCACCCCCATCTCCTCCTCCTGCCACCACTTCCTCCTCCTCTCCTCCTACTTCCTCCTCCTCCTCCTCCTCCTCCTCCTCCTCCTCCTCCTCCTCCTCCTGCCTCCTCCTCCTCCTCCTCCTACCCCAACCACCGACCACCGACCGTCCTCCTCCTCCTCCTCATCCTCCCCGCACCTCTTCCTTCCCCGCACCACCCCACCACGCACCACCACCAACCCCTTCCTCCCTCCTCCTCTCTCTCACCTCCTCCACCACCACCACCGACCTCCTCCTCCCTAGCCAACCTTCAACCCCCCACCCCCATCTCCTCCTCCTCCACCACTTCCTCTCCTCCTCCTCCCTCTTCCTCCTCCTCCTCCTCCTCCTCCTCCTCCTCCTCCTCCTCCTCCTCCTGCGCTCCTCCCTCCTCCTCCTCCTCCTCCTCCTCCTCCTCCCACCACCGACCATCCACCTTCCTCCTCCTCCTCCTCCTCCTCCTCCACCTCCTCCTCCCCCACCACCAACCACCACCACCACCACCCCCCTCCTCCTCCTCCTCCTCCACCTCCTCCCACACCACCACCTCCTCCTCCTACGCCCCTCAACCCCCACCCCATCTCTCCTCCTTCCACACTTCTCCTCCTCCTCCTCCTCTTCCTCCTCCCTCCTCCTCCTCCTCCTCCTCCCTCCTCCTCCTCCTCCTCCTCCTCCTCCCCCACCACACCACCACCTCTCCTCCTCCTCCTCCTCCTCCTCCTCCTCCCTCCTCCTCCTCCCCCTTGACACAAGAGAGTGTGTGTGTCTCTTCGCTCAAAGTGACAGGTCTTTCTTAATCTTTAACCTGTGCTAAAAATAGTTCGGGGTTTTATCAGGGGGACTGAATCGGCTTTATCAGCTCTCTCTCTCTTCTCTTTCTCTTCTCTCTTTCTCTCTTTCTCTGTTCTCTTTCTCTTTTTTTTCTCTTTTCTTTTTTCCTCTTTCTTTCTCTTCACTTTCTCTTTCTCGTTTTCTTTGTCTTTCTTTCTTTCTGTCTTTCTTTCTCTTTTTTCTCTTTCTCTTTCTTTCTCTCTCTTCGGCTTTCTCTTTCTTCGTTTTCTCTCCTTTCTTTGTCGTCTTCTTTATCGTTCTGTTTCTCCTTGCTCTTTCTCGTTCTCTTTCTCTTTTTCTTTTGTTTTTCTCTTCTTTTTCTATAATTTCTCGGTAATTTTATTGTCTCTTTCTCTTTGCATTTTACTTAATGCTGCTGTGTCTATCTATCTGTCTTTTGTCTGTCTGTCTGTCTCTCTCTCTCTCTCTCTTTCTCTCTCGCAGAGGAGAGAGAGAGAGAGAGAGAAGAGGAGTGAGTGAGAGAGAGAGAGAGAGGAGGAGATAGGAAGAGAGAGGAGAGAGAGAAGAGAGAGAGAGAGAGAAGAGAAGAGAAAGAGAAAGAGAGAGAGAGAGAGAGAGAGAGAGAGAGAGAGAGAGAGAGAGAGAGAAGAGAGAGGAGAGAGAGAGAGAGAGAGAGAGAAGAGAGAGAGAGAGAGAGAGAGAGAGAGAGAGAGAGAGAGAGAGAGAGAGAGGGAGAGAGAGAGAGAGAGAGAGAGAGACAGAATTCCTTCCTTTGTTTCAAGCCTGATTAATTTTATCTTGTTGGCAGACACGACTGTCTTGTAAAAAAGAAAATACATTCACGAGGTATTAAAAACCGAGACTGGGACAGACAGAGAGGGGATATACTCTCTCTCTCTCTCTCTCATCTCTCTCTCTCGTCTCTCTCTCCTCCTCTTCATCTCTCTCTCTTCTCTCTTCTCTCTCGTCTTCTCTCTCTTCTCCACCCTCCAACGCCTCCTTCCTCCTCCATTCCTCCTTCCCTCCCTCTCCCCTCTCCTCCCTCTCCCCTCCCTCCTCCCTCTCTCCTTCCCTTCCCTTCCCTCTCCCCCTTACCCTCAAATCCCTCTTCCTCCCCTCCATCTCCGGGCTCCATCTCCCCCCTTCCCTCATCCTCCTCCCTTCCTTACCCCCTCCCCCAACCCCTTCCCTCCCCTTCCCCCTCCCCTCCCCTTCCCTCCCCTTCCACCCACCTCCCCTCCCCCCTCACCCTTCACCACACCCTATCCTCCCTTCCCTTCCCCTCTCCCTCCCTCCGTCCCCCCCTCCCCCTCCCTAACTCCCCCTCCCCTTCACCCCACCTCATCCTCTCCCCCTCCCTCCCTTCCCCCTCTTCCCTCCCTCCGCCCCCAACCCAGAGAGACGCACCCACCTCAGGCTAGTTCAGGCGTAAAACGGCGCCCTTTAGCCTAAACCGGTTTTGGTATAGGAATGAAGGGTCTCGGCAAAAAAGAAATAATAATAATAAAAATAAAAAATGATAATAAATAAATACATTAATAAGAGAAGAAGGATAAGTGAATGAATAGATATAAAGGGGCAAAAAAAAAATGATAATATAATAATAAGTATAATGATAATAAATAATAATAATAATAAAAAGGAAGAAGAAAGGATAATAGAAATGAATAGATATAAGGCAAAAAAAAAAAAAAAAAAAATGATAATAAATATAAAAAAATAAAGAAAGGAATAGGAATAGGATGAATAGATTAAAAAAGGAAAAGAATAATATAAGAGAAAAAAAAAAAACGAATAGGAATGAATAAATAAATGAGGCAAAAACATAATAATATAATAAGAGAAGAAGAAAAAATAAATAAATTAAAAAGATAATAAGATAAGTAAATAAATAGAAAAAAAATGATATAGAGGAAAGGAAGGAAGTAGGAAAGGAGGAAGATTGAAGAGAGGAGAAGAAAGGAAATATAATAATAATTAAATAAGAAAAGATACAGAAGAAGAGAAGGAGAAGGAAGAAAAGAATTTGAAAATAATGAAGAATAAGAAAGGAAGAACACAAAATAGAGGAAGAAGAAAAAAAAACACAGAGTGAAAAGATAATAAATTTAAAAAGAAGAAATAACCAGGGAGGAAATAGGAAGAAGGAAGAAGAAGAAGAAAAAAACAAAGAACAAGATGAAAATAGAAGGAGAAACAGAAAGAAAATTAAGGGTTATTGTTCCTTGTAGCCTCGGGTAGAGAGGCATGAAACTAGTCCCACGAAAAAAAACTTAAGCACGCACTTAATTTTCTCGACTTTTTTCTTTCCTTTTTTCTTTCATTCCCTCTTCCTCCATTTTCGCTGATTTTCTTATTCTTATTTTCCTCCCTGTTTTTTTTTCTTCTGTTTTCCGCCATCCCTTTTTTTTTTATAATGATTTTTTTTTCCTCCCTTTCTTCCTATAATTCCTCCTCTTCACGCCAAATCTTGTTCTATTTCCTCCCCCCCATTTTTCCCTCTCCTCCCTCTAAACCTATTTCCCCTCCATATTTTCTCCTCTCTCCATCTTTCTCAATTTCCTCCATTTTGTCCCCTTATCTCCCCCTATTTCACATTCCATTTCCTCTCCCTCTTACATATTATCCCCATCGTGCATAGGGCCTGTGTTTTAAGGGTGGCTTGCTTTGGCTTGCTTTGGCTTGCTTGAGGGGTGCTTTGGGCTTGCTTTGGCTGCTTGAGTGCTTTTGGCTTGCTTTGGCTTGCTTTGAGTTTTTTGCTTTGCTTGCTTGAGTTGCTTTGGCTTGCTTGAGTTGCTTTTGCTTGCTGAGTTGCTTCTTGTGCTTGCTTGAGGTTGTTTGGCTTGCTTGAGTTGCTGCTTGCTTGAGGTTGCTTTTGCTTTGCCTTTGAGGTTGGTTTTGGCTTGCTTGGCTGTAAAATTGGCTGGCCTTTGGGGGGCGGGCGGCGGGGGGGGGGGACTTGAGTTGCTTTGGTTTGCTTGAGTTGCTTTGGCTTGCTTGAGTTGCTTTAGCTCTTGCTTGAGTTGCTTGGCTTGCTTGAGTTGATTTTGGCTTGGCTTGGAGTTGCTTTGGCTTCTTGAGTTGCTTTGGGGCTTGCCTTTGGCTTTGTTTAAGTTGCTTTGGCTTGCCTCTGAGTTTGTTTGGCCTTGCTTTTGAGTTGCTTTTGGTTGCTTGAGTTGCGCTTTGGCTTGGCTTTGGCTTCTTTGTTTTAAGTTGCTTTGGCTTGGCTTGAGTTGCCTTTTGGCTTGCTTGAGTTGCTTTGGCTTGCTTAAGTTGCTTTCGGCTTGCTTGAGTTGCTTTGGCCTTTGCTTGAGTTGCCTTTTTGGCTTGCTTTTGAGGTTACTTGAAACTAAATCTGATTAAAAATTCCGGCGCGTTTGTTTTGAAAATTTGCCGCCTTTCGGGGGTTGGTCTTAAAAGCAAGTCACAAACGAATGGATTTGAATGCAAATCCAAGGTACAAAGCAACTTGGCTTCCGTTGTTTTTTGAATTTGTGCTCTTTCGTGTGACTCGAGGGCGTCCGCGCTCGGGGAAGGGCCCCGGGTCGATGGGCCCCGCTTTGCTTGGAAAAAGGTCATTCCCCCTTTTCCCCTTCTTTCCTGCCTCCTTCCTCCTCCCCTCTTGCTTCTCCTTCTTTTTCTTCCTTCTCTTTCCTCTTCGCTTTTCTTCTTCTTCTCTTTTTCCTCTGCCTCTCGCTTTCTCTTGTCCTCTTTCTCCCCCTTCCTCCTCCCTCCCCCTGTCCTCCTCCTCCACTCCTTCACCCACCACCTCCACCACTCTCCCCTCCTCTCCTTCTCCCCCTCCCCCTCCCTACCCTCCTCTTCCCACTCTCCTCCCCTTCTCCACCTCCTCTCCCTTCCTCCCCAATCCTCCTGCCTCCCTCCTCTTCCCTCTCCTCCCAACCCCCCTCGCTCCAGCCGCACCTCATCCTCCCCTTCAGCCCCTACGCACTCTTCTTTCCATTCCCCCTTCGCAGACTCCTCCCCCTTATCCCGTCATTCCCCGTCCACCCTCCTCCTTCCGCGCCACACTCCTCCACCGCCTCTCCTTCCACTTTCCACCTCCTCACACCTCCTCCACACCCTCACTCATCCCTCCACCTCCTCCTCCTCCTCCACTGTCTCTCCTCACTCCTCCTGCCTCGCAACCTCTTTCCTCCTCCTCCTCCTCCTCCCCCTCTCCCTTCCCCCTCGTCCCGCTCTCCTCCCCTCTTCACCTCCTCTTTTCCCCTCCTCCTTCCCCAACTCTTCCACCTCCCTCCCCCCCTCTTCCCCACGCACCTCCCCCATCCACCTACTCCCTGCTCCTCCTTCCCCCCTCCTTCCCCCTCCTCCTTCACCTCCCACCTCCTCTGCCAAGCGTCACCCTTCTTTTTGTACTTTTGGCCTGAGTACTAAATGACTTCAATTATTTTTTTTTTTTTCTTTTCTTTTCCTTCTTACTTTCTTTTTTTCCTCGCTTTTTTTTTGAAAGTTTTTGAGTTTTTTTAAGACAATTTTTTTTTCCCCGTTCCTTTTTTCTTTTTGGGTTTTCCCTTTTTTTTAAAAGTTTTTTGAGTTTTTTTTATTCTTAAATATTATTATTATTTTTAGTCTCCTTCTTCCCTCGCCTGAAAAGCCACGCTCTGTCTGCTTTAGGGTCAAGGACTATGAAGAGCAGAATTTTAAGATTCCTCTTTTTTCTTTTTAGGTTAGTTTTTTACAGGTTAATTCCTGGCTTACTGCTTGGACGCAATCCGTTTCTGCTTGAGGTCTGAGGTTTTGTTGTTGTTGTTGTTATTAATTTTTTTTTTTTATATTATTGTTTGTTGTTTGTTTTGTTGTTAATTTATCAATTAATTATTAATTTTATTATTGTTATATTATTATTATTATTATTATTATTATTATTATTTAATTATTATTATTATTATTAATTATTATTATTTGGTTGTTGTTGTTATTATTGTTACTTAATTATTTATTATTATATTATTATTATTTATTATTAATTATTATTTGGGTTTAATTATTATTAAAATTATTATTTTATTTTAATTTATTGTTTATTTTAATTTGATTGGTTTTATTATTATTATTGTTATTAATATCATTATTATTATCATTATTATTAATTATTAATTAATTATTGGTTATTAATTTATTATTGTTATTATTATCACTTTTTATTATTATTATTAAATATATTATTATTATTATTATTATTATTATATTATTAATTATTATTATTATTATTATTTTTTATTAATTATTGTTTTTTTTATCAATTATTATTATTATTATTATTATTATTATTATTATTTATTATTATTGTTTATCATTATTATTATTATTAATGCCTTATTATTATTATTATCATCATTATTATCTTTTTCAATTATTATCATCATTTATTATATATTATTACAAACCCAAACGGAATGGGACCGAAAAAAAAAAGAGTATAAAACGATAATAAAATAAATATTCTCCGTTCTCAAATAAAAAAGATAATATAGAAATAAAAGAAAAAAAACAATAAGAAAAAAAAAAATAAAAAAAGGAAATTAATAAATATCTTTCTTTTTCATTTTCTTCGCTCATTAAATCGAGAAAAATATTTCAATTTCGTGTTTTAAGTTCAGCCATTAAGGTTTTTTTTCAATACCAACAACATCCTTTTGGTTGTATCTATTGTAGTATTGTATCTATTGTTGTTTTATTGTTCCTTGTCTTCTTGCATGTCTAATTTAAGGCAAATTTGGTATTGTGCTTTGAAAATAGATTTAATCAAATTTAAGGTTAGGGTTTCTTGAGGTTATAAATACAATTAATATTATTGCTTTATATAAATATTTTTCTGTTTTTTTCCTATTTTTGTTATTTTTAATTTTATTCATTCTTTTCTGTTTTCCTGCCCTCTATTTTTTTCTTATTCATATCTTTCTGTTTTGTTCTATTTTGTTTTTTTTTTCTTTATTTCATTCTTTTCTGTTTTCCTCTTTTTTTTATATTAATTTTTCCTCTTTTTAATTAATTTCTTTTCCTGTTTTTCTCTATTTTTCATTTTTCCACCTCCATTCTTCTTTTCTTTATCCAA